ATGTACCGCCTACCAACGGACTTAATGACCCATCCACACACCTTGGCTACCTGTCTGTCTGTCCATATGCCCGTCCATATATCTAAATGTCATGCAAATTCTATTTTCTTTGAAATAACGGTTTTTCGGTTAACTAAAAGAGAATCGTGCAATTGCACGCGAAAATATCAGTACCTTCATTTGAAATTGTCGAAAAATAAGCAGGATGGACGGATGGTTAGCTCATGTAATAACTTGCAGGAAACGCCAATAATGCGTGCCTTTTTTGTGCTAGTGATGCGATTCTTAGGAGCAAAATGTTCGTTCTTCTACACAGTCACCCATCTCCAAGACTCGTGATTTTCACTTATGTACACTACCGAATTAAAGCATAAAGTTAACAAACTCTTCCTTAGTTATCTTATGTCTTAGCCACGCCCTGCCCTCTTTTTTAACTGTAGAGAAACAGAGAGAGATGGGTAGAGTGACGGATATGCGGAAAGACAGACAGTCAGACAAGTGGGATGGTCGGTCGGTCGGTTCGTCGGCTTGTCGGTCAGTCGACGGTCGGAGTAGGTGTGGGCGTAATGGTAGACGTGCAAACTACGTCTAGTCATATTATGTGTAATTACACAGATCTGGTTTACAAATAGTCTATTGAAAACACTTCGCTGATGTCAAACAACGTGGGGGCAAATCATCTATGGTCGAAGCACCTTCGGTCAACAGCATCTATTATCGGAAAACATTATTTGTTTCAATGCATTTAAGAATAAAACGTGAGTTATCTCCCCTAAACTTTCTCAAATATTCTTATAAAAGACATTATTTTTAATCAATTATTATTACTTACACTTTTTAGAAATAGAATAGAATCTCGTAGAAAAAAAACTGCGCACCCAGTAAAAGCCAAACAATATGTGTATAACAGTGTAGAATTATATTCGAACTTTATAAATTTACATGCGTTTTTTGAAAAATCGGCATTAGCTTAAATTATTACTTATTGTCAACGGAAATTGCTCAAAATTTGAAAAAAGGGCAGACAGGTAGATTTTTTTACTTATTTTTTTAAATTCGTTCATCTATCTTAAACAGCTACAGGCTTTTGAAAAAATTAAAGTAGAATAAGTTCCCCTTCCGGTTACCGTAAATCGCTGAAAAGTTCAAACAAAACTACAGAGTGTATTGGAAGAATTGTGATCGTGCATAAAAATCTCTTGAAATTTTTAGTTTTTACCGTTTTACACCTCAGTACTTCATCATATACGGAGTATATGGTCTGATTTTAATCGAGCAAAAATTATAAATCCAGATTTATCAAAATTTTTGCGTTTTATCCGTTTTCGGGTAAAAGCCACCAGCGCGCAGCGCGATGCGCTTAAGAAATATTCGCCCAAATGGGGGGACCCGCGCCCCCGCGCCGCGCGGAAAACTTTAGTTTCATGTTCGTGGGAAGGAGAGATGTCTGGGTTGACGTTAGTATGCAAAGTTCTTCTAAATTTCGTCTCTCATATTAAAATTTAATGTCTATTGGTATATAGGTTTGTAAAACACCAGACATAAATCTTTATTCGGGTGAATCTGAAATCAGTCTATTGATATCAAGATTATCAAAATTAATGTTTTCATACTTTTAGATAATTACATTGTGTAGAGCAGCTATCCTATCCCCATATCATCTACATTTGTCTGACGGTTGTTGGGGCACCATGGTTGCATCTTCCCCAATGCCTTGCCTTGCATTTGATGCTTTCATGCCCTCGGTAAGTCCGCAAACGACGATCTGGTCCAGTTCTTGATGTCATCCAAACATCTTCTCATGTGTAACCCCCCCCCCCCCCCACACACACACACACATACGACACTATGCTTTGCAGGATTGTATTTGAAAAGCCGCTGCTTCATGTGAAGTATCTATAGCATCTGAATATTTTTAGCCCTGACAAAGCAAAGCAAATCTTTAAAAAGACAGATTGGGTTGATAAACCTTTCAGGGACCTCGATTTTATCATATGATCCGTGTATGTAATGCACATTCACTTATATGCAGTCTTGATAAAAAATTAGGAAAGTAAAACTGATATGGGGAAGGATTTGAATATTATTGGGTCGTGACAACGGTACACCGCTAAGTTGAACTTCTGGTATATGTAGCTTGAGCTCTGTTATATGAAGAAAGTTGAAAAGTATTTCCATCTATTGTTGAAAGAACCTAATGAGCAAATCTTTTCAACAAAATCGTGATAATTGTTATTATTCTCGTTTTAACACTTTTAGCATCCTGCTGGGTTTTAGCCGCTAGTCTAAAATAGCCTATATTCCTAAAAATATACTTTTATTGTGGTTTAAGATAGTATTAATGTTTTTAGCGTCAAATATGAGCTATTATCTGTTCTCTGCAGCAGTAGATAAATAGTTCCCACCCTAATCAGGATCATCCTATGTTTTATTGCCACTATTGTACGAACATAGTTGGTCATGATTAGACCAATAAATATTGGGTGTATTTCAAAATCGAATCTTGATAACGTTCATAAGTTTATTGTAGTGGTTTTAGCAGATAAAGCAAAACATCGCTGACTTTATAATTGGGAAGTTTCAGATGTTTATATTAGCTAATGTTTTATGTTTTAATTTTCAAGTTTCGTTTCAACGAAATAGAATAAATTATTAACGACAATTTCCAAGAAGATGGAATGGTATCTATTGTCTGATTGTAACCTGATATCCAACATTTAGTAATTTTGCAACAATTATAAAGCAAATTTATAGTGTGATAAAGAATCTCATTCAAATATATTTATGACTAAACAAAGATAATTTTAGCGAACAAATATAATTTTCTTTAATATTAAACACTGCAAAACTATAAAAAGTAACAAAATCCCACTGATAAATATATACTTTATTCCCTTAAAGCAATTAAAGTTAAATGTCAGTCTTAACAAAAGCGAAAACTGCATATTATATTACTAGTTACAATTTCCAAACTTCCCACATAAAAACAAGTATTTTAGTTGTGCAATGTGAAAAAAATGATAAAGAAACAAATACAACTTACATTATATATATATATATATATATATATATATATATATATATATATATATATATATATATATATATATATATATATCTAATATATAAAGCTCAGTTCTGTAACGTGTGGCAAAAAAGTTTGTCGTTGACACTTCTATGGATTTAAGTGTTAGATTTTTTATCGTGCTCATAGTCTAAATTTACGTGTCAAAAAATTACCATTGAAAGTCTTTAAAAACAATTTTCACTCTATTTACTTAGAAGAATAATTGTCAATTATGAACGCGACATAAATTTTTTAAAAAGTGTATCGACGTTTATAAAATTTCTAAAATTGTGTCGGAAATGTATTGACTGCACAGTTACTTCCCTTTAATAAAAAAATTCTTATTAATTAAGAAGAAAGAATTTACATTTTATTACTTTGTTTTTGGTGTTAAGAAAAAAAAATAATTACATAATTAGCGGGGATTGATTAAGTGCAATGTCGTTAGGTATTTTTAACACTGCCTTTTATTTATTCTATACACTGAACATACTGTTCAATAATTTTTTTTTTTTTTAAATCAATAACATTTAATAAGCCAGGTCCTACAAATCCTATATGTTTATTTCTTTCCATTTACGGATAAGCTTGGAGTATTATCATTTTTGTTCACTAAATTGAAACAGGCGCGTCCGCCGGCGCCCTTGCACGGTTCGATTTGGCACCCTGGGCTATCATGTGAGCGCTATGCTGCATAATTTTGTTTTGAACAGTGCGATAGACAATGGTTAAGAAAGGTTACTATAGTCTTTAAGTGAATCAAATCCGGGCCTCCTCCGGCACCCCGACAGGGTGCTATTTGGCGCCCCGGGTCTTCCGATGTAAGCTATGGTATCTACGTTCGCGTGAGTTCCAAAGACTATGAATAAGTTATGTACTATAGTCGTTTACTAAGTTCAATCAGGCGGTGACGTCATGGTGCGTCCTCTGGCGCCCAGACAGGGTGCTATTTGGAGTCCCGGGCCTCCCGTGTTCGGTTTCGCGCCTACGTTCATTAAAGTGAGTGCAAAAGACTATGAATAAGTTGGGGTACTATAGTCGTTTATTAAGCTGAAACAGGCGATTCCGCCCCGGGCTAGACTCTGAGCACTGTGCGTTTATGTTCGCGTTAGTGTTTTCTTTGTGTTTAGGTTGGGTTTGCGTTAGTGGTTGCGTTTTGATTTGGTTCGTTTTTGTTCTTTCTTTTTTCGTTTTCGTTTGTGTTTTATTTTCTTTGCGTTTGTGTTTGTATTAGTGTTTGTGGTTGGTTTTGCGTTTGTATTTGGTTTGTTTTTTCGTTTGTGTTTTTTTCTTTGGGTTTGTGGTTGGTTTTGCATTTGGATTTGGTTTGTTTTCGTTGCTTTTTCGTTTTTTTTTTTCTTTGTGTTCGTATTGGTGTTTGTGGTTGTGGTTGGGTTAGTTGTTAGGTTTTTGTTTTCGTTTGTATTTGTAATTGTGTTAGCGTTATGTTTGCGTTTTGTTGTTTTGGTTTTGGTTTGGGTGTGCAATGCCGGGTTTATGATGATTACTAAACACACAGGTAATGGTCTTTAACAGAAAGGTTTTTCACAGAAGCCAGAGCAGGGCCTGGCCGGGACGGCTAGTATATATATATATATATATATATATATATATATATATATATATATATATATATATATATATATATATGTGTGTGTGTGTGTGTGTGTGTGTGTCTGTGTGTCTGTGTGTGTGTATGTGTGTGTGAAATTTATTCACAGTTAATATTGATAAATGAATACATTATATGCATCTGTTCTTAAATATAAGTATATTAAGAAATGCAAAAGAAATAAAAGTAGCTGATTCAACATCAATAATAATTTTATATTGGCATAATTTATAAATATATTGATTGCTTATGTGAGATACATGTCTGGATTAAGTATGAGAAGTTCTAATATATTTTGTAACTCATAAGGGCACACACTAACCTAGTGTAATATAATAAAACATATAAACAAAGTATCTTTAATACAATCATAGGATTTCATTTGAAAAATATGAAATATTTGTTAACAATCATTTAAAATGGCGATATTTGGCTATAAAATGTTGATTATTGTTTGGTTATATTTATGGAAAACAAAATATCCGTCAAATTTAAAACATTCAAATTATTTAAAGCTTAAAGTAAATATTAATTAAAATCAAACTTTACCCCAAAACCGCTACAAAGTAAGCATAGCTGTAGAAAAAAAAAGTCACTAAAATAAAACCCATCGGCATTCTACAATACAAAATGTAATCTCGTCGCACAAAACTTAAAGAATAGCATTCACTTGTTTTTAAACTTGTTTAGCAAGTTACCAACCATTTTGCAAACCCCCAAACATATCGATACTCCGCCAACACGTAAGGCAATTGCACCTATCGTTGATCCTAATCCTCCACTAGCAATAGTAAAAACGACACCTACTGCTAGTAATACACCGCTTGTTATTGAAGATGCAACAGGCACAGAAATAGCCGGATTTTTAAGTTTCTGCAACATTTCTATTATTGGTTTCAGCTGTTCTTTGATGGGTTTTCTCCAATCTATTTCTTCTATTTTATATTGAATGCTCTTTACTTTAATTTGAAGGTTTTCATCTTGTGAAATATTATCCATTTCATCTAACAACTGCTTGCCGAATTCTGTTAGTTCAATTACATCTTTTTCTGTCATTTTATTAGATTCCATATACTTGCAGATTTCCTGGGTTAAACTATCAATTTTACGCTGAAACTCAATCTTTAGCTCTGGTAACTTATGTTCTGATATTAATCGCTCTCGTTCCAATGCACATTGTTTAAATTTATCATTGGTGTAAGCGCCTTTTTTACCCAACTCAGCTGCAATGTTCAAGAGTTGTTCTACGGCGATTTCTTTCTTGTCTGCATACAGTTTTGAGTGACTGTTATAAAACAGGACAACTCTGTTACCACATTCTTTAAATAAATCTTGTATTGGACCAGTTTGTTGGTTACACCACGTTCCAAAATCATTTATCGTATCATCACTTTCGTCGCAACCTTCAGACTCCATGTCAAAGTTTTCTCCGTGAGTAAAAATAATGATTCCGTGATCTTTAATTATATTTACTCCAAAAATTTGCTTTATTTTAACTACCGTTTCTATGTCTTCTGTTGTGAATCTGTTCCCATACTTCAAAACCAACAACAACGCATGAATACCTTCTGGGCACACACTCATAATTCCAGGAATTTGAGTTTCGACGTTCAAAATTTCATTTTCCTCGTCAGGATCCATAAACCCAGGACTGTCAACAACTTTAATTTCTAGATTTCCACGAATTGAAAAACAAGGGGTGGCAAAAAATGTGCCTCGATTTTCTTTAAAAGCATCTCGCCCTAAAATAGAATTGGCGGTTGAACTTTTACCATTTCCAGTCTTACCAATCAAGGCAAGAGTAATGCTTAATTTGTTGGGTGCTTCCATGTTCAACTAAAAGAAAATTGTAAAAGAGATAAAAATATATTTAAGGAAAAGAAAGAAAAGCAAATGTATACATTTCTAAACGCTCAAATGGACATGTGACTTAGAGAAAGTCTTAGGTTACAAGTATCAGCAGCTATAGAATAATAAGTCATATCGCTTGTAGATTTCTAAGTTGATACGCTAACAATAGGCGTATCTACTAGATATGTCGCTAGTTATGTATAGTACAACTAAAACATGGGTTTTTTTGTTTGTGTTTTTGTAAATATTAAAATATTGATACTATTATATTAAAATAAAATTGATAAAGAAACAAACAATTTAAAAACAAGAAAAATACTGTTAAACAAAATATAAGCAGAACATACACTGCAACCTTATACTTATAATTTACATAAACACACTTGTAATGTAAGTAGTATATTAGGTACCTTTGGGTTATCATGGGTGAGCAGGATGCGGATGGTGAGCAGGATGCGGATGCGGATGCGGATGCGGAGCAAAGGTTATATAGTAAAATACTCACCCACCTGGGTGAAGGTGAGGGATGCGGATGGTGAGGGTTAGACATGTTATATAGTAAAATACTTACCCACCTGGGTGAGGGTGGGTGAGGCGGGTGGGTGAGGGTGGGTGAGGCGGGTGGGTGAGGTTGGGGGATGCGGAGTAGGTCAGTAGGTCAGGTGAGGGTGTGACCTTGTGACGTAATCACCAGCGGTGACCTTGTTACTTAATTTCAATTAGTTTGATTTATTTATTATTTTTTTTAATTAATTTTTATTAACTAGTTTCGTAATTTTAATGAGATTTTAATTTTTAAATAGTTTTAATGAGTTTTTTATTTGTTTGTTGTTTTTAATGAGTTTAATTATTATTTTTTAATTTGATTATTTGTTTGATTTTAATTTTTAATTTTTAAAATTTTAAAATTTTGATTTTAATTTTAATTTTTAATTTTAATGTAATTCCTTTGTTTATATTTTGTTTGTTTATTTTTTAATTAGTTTAATTACTTTGAGTTTTTTATTTATTTTTAATTTTTTTTAAAAATGTTTAAATTTAAATTTTTAAATTTTTTAAATTATTTTTTATTTTTAAATTTTATTTTTTTAATTGTTGTTTACTTGTTGTTTGTTTATTTTTTAATTAGTTTAATTTTTTAAATTTTAATTTTGTAATTTTAATTTATTATTAGTTTGATTTTTAAATTAATTTGATTATTTGTTTGATTTTAATTAGTTTGATTTTAATTTGTTTGTTTAATTTGTTGGTTTGTTTATTTGATTGTATGTATGTTTAATAGTAAACCACGCCACCGCCTGATGGTGTTGGTGTAGAGGGGTGGTGGTTGAGAGGGGTGGTGGTGGTGGATGAGAGGGGGAGTAATGAACCACCTGTTCACCCTTCACCCGCCTGCTAACACCCCTCACCCATGTTACTATAATCGAATATGTATTGAACACTTGTTAAGTTTACACCGTGATATTTTTAAAATTAAAATTACGTAACTAAGTCACCGCTGGTGATTACGTCACAAGGTCACACCCTCACCTGATCTACTGACCTACTCCGCATCCGCATCCCCCACCCTCACCCACCCACCACACCCACCTTCACCCACCCGCCTCACCCACCCTCACCCAGGTGGGTGAGTATTTTCTTATATAACATGTCTAACCCTCACCATCCGCATCCCCCACCCTCACCCAGGTGGGTGAGTATTTTACTAATTAACATGTCTAACCCTCACCATCCACATCCCCCACCTTCACCCAGGTGGGTGAGTATTTTACTATATCTCATTGTCCCAGGCTCACCATCCGCATCCCCCAGGTGGGGGAGTATTTTACTATATAACCTCTGTTCCGCATCCGCATCCGCATCCTGCTCACCATCCGCATCCAACTCACCCATGATAACCAAAAGGGACCTAATATACTACTAATGTATTTCTAACGGTTTTTTTAAGTTACACTTAAACCTTATTGAAACTAGTGACAAAATTACAAATATCAATAAAACCATAAATACAACCCTTTCTTAAACAAGGTGTTATGTTATCATATTTCTTTTGGCACACTTAAAGCATAATTTATGTCGAAGGAAATGTTTTATACATTTTTAATGGCTAAAACATGTATTATTACTTACAAGTACCATCAGGGATGTAGGGCTTTTTTTCCAAAAAAAAATAATTACAAAACAGGAATTAACGATACAATTTATTAACTGGTAACATGGCCATCATTATAACAATCTTTATTTTTTTTGTAATTTTTACTCATAAATACAGCACACCAGTATATTTTGAGTACGATTTTTACTGGATTTTCTATCGGAACACATCTTACACCTCAAACACAGCAAAAGGTGCCGACAAGTGATGCTCCCTTATTCCGTAGTGATACATTCTTGTCTGTCGCCTTTTGGTGTGGCAACACTAGCTGGACTGAACCTGCGTTTGCTAGAAGCTTCCAATAGCTATTATAATGAGCCGCATTACGAATATTTTGAAAACGAAAGCCTAGTCATTTAGCTCACTACTACGAGTAATGCTAGTGGGATTTTAGCCTACAAGAATGTTATGACAAGTCTACACTACAGTGTAATTATATAGAAGTGAGCTCAATGTGTTTAGGATAGCCGTAGTGGCCTACTGTTTTCTGTTTACAGATTAAAATGTACCATAGAGATCTATACTATATGCAGAAGTATTGACTATCACTAGTCTACGTACATGCTGGTTATTGTAGACAAGACAGTTGTTGCAGTAAATATAACTAACAAATTAAATCTTACTAATAGAACTAGACATACAAATGAGGTATACTAAACCTAGTAAACGAGTCTGTATCTGCAAAACTTTATTCCTTTTACTACTAGAAATCAATATTTAATAACAATACTTCTTAGGTAAACAATACGCTAACCCTCTTATAAATGTATAAATATTATTTTTGTACATTTCGATAACTAATTATCAAAATAATATTAATGTAACTCGACATCGAAAATCTGCCATTTCCTAAAATTCCTAAAAAAATGACAGTGTGCCCTGACAGTACTTATAAATCCACTTGTAAACAATGATCTATTGCAAAGACTATTTGATTAAAATTGTAAAACTAGAAGCTAAATACATTTACCTGACTATTGAAGGTGCCAATAAAAAATATTTAGGGTTGAAAACTTGAAGAATAAAGTAAAACAAATAGGAACGCGCGTGAGAACTACGCAGAACGATTGTGAACCGATACAGCCAGAGAATGAAAATGGTGCCACACCAGAAATTAACAAAAAAAACATCGATCCCTCCACCTACCGCGACTCAGGGGAGATAATACTATTAATTACATAAATATTTTTTTTAATTCGTATTCAATTAAAAATCATTCAGGCGCTTAAGTAAAGTGGTACTTATAAGTACCGTCAGTAGATAAAGGGTTATATTAGAGTACTGTACACGAAAATGAGGTTTTAGGCGGTTTTTAAACAGCGTGGCTTTGACTACAACAGGGATTTGACAACATGTTAATAATAACTAAACCACCCGTCTGATTTGGATGACTATGGATTTGGGGGGGGGGGGGGGTCATTCGTAAATGACGTCACGCTTTATTGAATATGTGTATCCCCCCCTTCCCTCTCTATTGTTGCAATAAGCCAGACCCTCTAATCTAAAAAGACGTCACACTTGTTTTTGTCTGTTAAAAGTATCGATTTCCTTCTAAAATCATTACTGAGCTCTGTCAATATTGAGTTTGCTAATCAATTTTATTACAATTTACAAAAACAAAAAACAGGCTTTTAAACAGGCAAAATATCAGTTGAAATTCAGTGTCTTAAAATTCCAAATAGCCTGTTCTCTAGTAGTGTGTCATCTTTCTAGGGCGATCGTTTATATAAATATATGTGTACCTTAGGGAACAAGGTTTTTTTCACCAAAACGCTATTATAAAAAACCTTATAATATATTGTTTGTGATTTCTTTAAAAAGAACCATTTGGTCCCAATTGTTTTCTAAATACACTCTACAATAGAGCTACGGTGATGTTTTTTTTGAGTATTGTTAGCATATTACACAGCCAGAGAAAAATAGGACTAAAGAGTTTTGGGTAATCTGCAGTATAAAAAAATTAAAATTAATTTTATTCTATCAAATCTTTAAAATAATTTAAATGGGGAAGTGATGTTCGCGTCATGTTATAAATAAAGCGGTAGTGATCTCCCCTAAACTTTCTCAAATATTTAAAAATAACAATACGAGGGTTGGCAACTCGGGACATATGCTTGATTTTTAATTCATTTTTAATTACTTAAACTTTTTAAAATACACTTTTTACTTTCTCGTATATACGAAGTATAGAGAAAGTATTGTAATCGTGCACAAAAATCACTTGAAATTTTAACAATTTTCACCGTATTACACCTCAGTCCTTCATCACATCCGAAGTATAGAGGACTTATTTTAATCGGGCAAAAATTATCAATCCAGATTTATCAAAATTAAGAGGTTTTATGCGTAATCCAGTCTGAAAAACTGGGCTTTGCAATTCTGTCCGTATGTCTGTGTGTCTGTGTGTGTGTGTGTCCGTGTGTAAACACGATTACTTGAGTACCGTTATAGCTAGGTTGATGAAATTTCATATATAAGTATTTTATCAAAATCGTAGATCCGTATCAACTTTTGAGCGATTTCCGATAACCGGAAGTGGTACTTTTCCTACTTTGAATTTTTCAAAAGCCTATAACTTGAGTACTATTTCAGATAGATAAATGAAATTTCACATGTAAGTAAAAGATCTAATTCTCTACCTTCTGTTAAATTTTGAGTAATTTCCGTTGACCGGAAGTAGTAATTTACGCTACTTCCGATTTCTCAAAAAACTAATGTAAATTTTTAAAGTACTAATAATATTGCGCGCCATTGTGCACTTTTTTATTTGGCGTTCACTAGTTCACTTGGTGTGCAATTATTTTGTCTACGAGATTTTATTCTATTTTTAAAACTTTAAGTATTTAAAATGGATTAAAAATCATGTCAATAGCCCGAGTTCCCATCCCCTGTTATTTTATATAAGAATATTCGAGAAAGTTTAGGGGAGATCACTCCCGGTTTATTTAATTACTTTTTTAAAAAATTAATTTTTAACTACTTAAGCGTTTGAAAATAGAAAAAAAAATCTCGCCGAAAAAAATAATTGCGCACCAAGTGAAAGGCAAACAATATGTGTATAATAATGCGGAATATTAGTACTTTATAAAATAATATTCGTTTTTGAGAAATTGGAAATAGCGTAAATTACTACTTGTCGTCAACGGAAATTACTCCAAATTTGAAAGTAGGCAGCTAATGATATCTTTTATTTATATATGAAATTTCCAATTTCTGCCTGAAATAGTACTAAGGTTATAGGGTTTTGAAAAAAAATCAAAAGTAGGAATAAGTTCCACTTCCGGTTACCGGAAATCGCAGAAAAGTTGATAGAGGAAGTTTCCCTATCTTTTAGACTGCAGCATGTGTACTGTTTTTTTCTTACACAACATCGTGGTTTAGTAAATGTAGAATAATCAACGCTGGACCTTATGCTTTTTTACAGCAGCGCAATCAATGTTCACGAAAAAGCCCTATTGGAAAAAAATCATTATTTCCTATGGTATTTTTTCACGGCTTTCGAAAAAATCGTATAAGTTTTTAACTAATTAAAAATTAAGTAATACATTAACACTTTCAATTTAAATTAAAAAATAATTATAATGTTGGCATTATAAAGAGAAACGTTATAAAGGGAAATTATGCAAACAAATCCAATTCTTGGCTATTACTTTAAAAATACCATAGTAACCATATGTTTATTGCTTAAACTTATTAATAATTTTCCCGACGAATGCAATAACTCCTGCAGCAAGTGATGTGCAACCTAAACGTGTAGCTGTTGCTGTGATAGTCTGTATCACAGCGGCAGTAGTTGCTGATTCTATTACTATGGCTCCAACAGCTGCTCCAGCTCCCCCTGTTGCTACTGTTAACACTACACCAGATGCTAAAAGTAGGCAGCCTAAAATTGTAGCACCGAGTGCTACAGACATTGGTGGATTCCTTACGGCTTCTAATAATTTCAAAAGAGGGTGCAATTGCGGTGCTATAGGCTCTTGCAAATTTATGTTTTTTAATGAAGTTTCAATACTCTGAACACTTTCTTTTAAATCTCCAAGCGAGTCACTATGTGAAGAGCTGTTAATTCTCTTTAACAAATCACTAACGCGATTTTTTAGAAGATTCAGATCTACCTCCGTCAAGTTATTAGACTTTATAAATCGGTAAAAATCTTGACTCAGTAAGTCACTTTCACGCTGAAACTCGATATTCAATACCAGTAACTTATGTTCTGAAAGAAATCTTTCTCGTTCCAATGCACATTGTTTAAATTTATCATTAGTGTACACGCCTTTTTTACTCATCTCAACTGCAATGTTCAAGAGTTGTTCCACGGCTATTTTTTTCTTTTCGGCATACAGTTTTGAGTGACTGTTATAAAACAGGACAACCCTATTACCACATTCTTTAAATAGATCACGTATTGGACCGGTTTGTTGGTTACACCACGTTCCAAAATTATTTGGCATATCATCACTTTCTTCGCGATCTTCAGTATCCATGTCAAAGTTTTCTCCGTGAGAAAAAATAATGATTCCATGATCTTTAATTATATTTACTCCAAAAATTTGCTTTATTTTAACTACCGTTTTTATGTCTTCTGTTGTGCATCTGTTCCCATACTTCAAAACCAACAACAGCGCATGAATACCTTCTGGGCACACACTCATAATTCCAGGAATTTGAGTTTCGACGTTCAAAATTTCATTTTCCTCGTCAGGATCCATAAACCCAGGACTGTCAACAACTTTAATTTCTAGATTTCCACGAATTGCAAAACCAGGCTTGGTCAGAAATGTGCATGCTGTTGTCGAACTTTTTTTTTTAAAACAGCCTCGTCCTAAAAGAGTGTTCCCTGTTGAACTTTTACCATTTCCAATTTTGCCAACCAAAGCAAGAGTAATTTTAGAATTGGTGGTTTCCATGCTTTACTAGGGATAGAAAGTGTTTTAAAACAGATATTAATAAAACATAACCAACCGTTTCTGAGAAAGATGCGCAACGGAAAAATGCGCAACGGAAAATGCGTAACGGAAAAAATGCGCAACAAAACTGCACAGCTTTTCTATTTACGCATTTTTCAGTGAGTGCAATTTTCATTTTGCGCATTTTTAGTGTGCGTAAATTTCTGTGTGCGCGTTTTTTTGTGCGCGATTTTCTTTTTGCGCTTTTTTCTATGTGTGCTATTTTTTTGTTTGCGCATTTTTCAGTGTGTGCAATTTTCTGTTAGCACATTTTTCTCCTTCAGCATTTTTCCTTTGCGAATTTTTTGTGCGCAGTTTTCCGTTGCGCATTTTTCCGTTGCGCATTTTTCTGGTCACTATTGCAAACGACATTCTAAAGAACACGTAGTCAATTTATACAATGCCTGAAATGGTCGTCTATATATGAAATACATCCATAATTATACATTTCTTAGAATACGAAATAACAAACAGGCAGAGTTTGAAATAATAGCAAAATATCAAGGGTTATGATTAGGGATTGGGATAAGGTTAGGGTAAAGGAAAAGGGTCAGATTCAGCCTCATAATCAGGATCAGGATCGGGATCAGGATCAGGATTAGGATTAGGATTAGGATTAGGATTAGGATTAGGATTAGGATTAGGATTTGGATCAGGATCAGGATCAGGATCAGGAACAGGAACAGGATTCGGATGGGAATGGGTATTAGGATTAGGGTTAGGGTTATGGATAGTGTTAGCATTAGGTATAGGTTTAGGGTTAGAGTTAGGGTATGGACTAGAAATTTCCTGTCGTTAATTTTGTATTTTAACTTTTATTATTTTTACTGTTTATTATTTTGTACTTTTGCTACCAGGGTATTTCACACATTGCCTTAGCAATTCTTGGCATTCTGTGTAAAGCCTATGCATTTTTTGTAAAGCCGAGGAAAAGTATATAATAATGTCGATTCATCGCCTAGCATTCTATCGAATGCTGGCTTTTCATAAATTGCCGGTAGAATAATGATTATCATATATGAGATATATGGCCCCCAGAGGGTGAAATATAGCTGGCGCTAGAATGAAAGTTTTGTCTTTTTCTCTAAATCGAAACAAAAACCATAATCACTACCTCTACTTCAAATTTAACCGGAAACGAATTATGTAATTGAAAACGGATTTTCATCCAGAATCGACATTTTAAACGGATTTAAGCTTGAAATACACTTAGTTACTGCACAATGATACTAAATATAGTGGTACTCATAGCTTTGCGTCTAAGCTCACACCTGATAAAAGTCGCATTGGAGTCATATTAATAATTGAGTCTTTCCAAGACTGAAATCAGCCTTACATAAACCATACATTTAATCCTTAAATTAAATAGATTACATGCAGATGCGACAAAAAGTTTATATTTGGTAATGAGATAGCTATGGTGGCATATGCACCTGAAAAAAATACCAGCTTCTTATCAATGTCATATTTTAAAATTTAATTTTCAAATCACAATTAAGTGAAGAAAGATGTGAAAATTAACATAAGTTAACACATTTTACCTTCATAACGTGATATAAGTGCGTCAGTAATTTGAACGTTTAATTTCCCCGGGTTTTTTTTTAAATTACACACAAAAACAAACAATAATTACATATGGATAAAAGAAAAAAAAATTCACCTTTTGAAATAATAAGTTGTTCTAACACGTCTTTAACGTGGGTATTTAAGTAGTGTACTATTTTTAGCGCAATTTCCATTATGGAGAATTGCGTTTATTAACTCGTCTTTTCTGGGAATGGATGGATTGATGGATGGATGTGTGTCCGCAGCTTTAAGTCGTATCTCCTCCTCAACGAAGCAATATCGAGGACTAGTTCCAAAAGCAATTATGTTAAGCAAGTTACGCGGATGAACATAGGCCATAAAAATTCCGGGTTTCATGGATTTCCCGGAAAAGCCAAAACACCTCGAACAAATGCAGTTTTTGCTCCATATCTCGGCAACCAGACTACTTAGCGACTTGAAACATTTACCAATCGATTCCTGCCATAATTTAAACCAATATTGCCGAAGAAAGTTTTCAAAAATATCCTTTTGTTCGGTCACAAAATTTTTTTAAATGTATTTTAAACTGGGCGTCTTGTAGGCCTAGTTTTAATTTAAACTGAGCGTCTTATAGGCCTAGTTTTAATTTAAACTGAGCATCGTGTCGGTTTTTAGCGCAAAGCGCTGAGGTTCGAAAGGATTTTTTTAATTACTTATTTACTTATTAATTCAAACGTTATTTTTGTACCCTATTAATTTATTTATAATTTATATGAGAGTGATAGGGAGTTACAATTACAAGGTTTTGTTTCGCGAGGCCTAATCATTTTTTCACATTTTTTATCCAACCACACCACACGCGTCATCACGTTCAATAGCTGCGCCATCACGTTCAATGGCTGCGTCATCACGTTCAGTAGCTAGGCGGGCAATGGTTTTTAGTCATGTAACTCTATTGTAAATAAAACATGTAAAATACTTTAAAAAAAATTAATAAAAAACGTTTTAATAACTAACCAATGGTTTTACTAACCCTGCTCTTGATTTACGCTACGACAGAGCTATTTTTAGATAACATAAGGAAATTGCGCTAAAATGTCACTAGACTTTTTAAATAACTTGTTTATTTAGAAAGTGTTAATAAAAAAATCACACTTGTTGCCATGTGCATGTTCTGAGTTTATGTTTATGTTTGAGTTTACGCTTGTGTTTATGTTTCAGTTTGCATTTATGTTTATGTTTGCTTTCACGTTTACAATTGTTTTTGCATTTGTGTTTATATTTTCACTAATGTCCATATTCACATACAGTGGCGTAGGCAGGTGGGGAGGGGGGGTTAGGGGGGTCATAACCGCCCCCCATAGACCCCTCTGTATATAGAAAAAGTATGAGGGGGGGTGCAAATCGAAAGTTTGAGGGGGGGGTGCAAATCGAAAGTTTGTCCCCGCGTAAAAATTGGAACCCCCCCTTGAGACGATCCTGGCTACGCCACTGTTCACATATATACATTTACTTTAAAATTATATAAATTCCAAAACACCGGGCAGCGCAGGGTATATGCTTAAGTCACTTTCCCTTTACAAATAACATATACCTCAAATGCAATTGCAGTTCCTTGTCGGTACGGCTAGTAAAGACACACAAACACATATACTGTATATATATATATATATATATATATATATATATATATATATATATACTTTAAAGCAATGTAGTGTGTGTGTGTCTGTCTGTCTGTTTGTCTTTTCAGTATTATTACACAGTATTATCTGATCGCCATAAAACTTTGAGAAGCTGTTGAAATAGTCCTAAAGAGGTATCTGCGAAAAAAAAAATTTTAAGTTCGCATGGGTGGCACCCCGACAGAGCGAGAATCCATTCTTCTCTATATTATGTGATATAAAAGTAAAAGTCGATTGCGGTTTGACACCGTTCATGCGTTTGCTATAAAACTTTAGGAAGTTGATTAGAACACCCCTTAGAAGGTTTCTGCAAAAATCATTTTTAATTTTGTAATGGCGGTCTCCCAGAGGTGCATCTTATTGGTGGCGCCCGGAGAGGGTGCGATTTTTTTGTTAATACACGGTTTGGCACCCAGAGTTCCAGAACGGGTATTGTAGTACTTGGTATCCGTTAATCGAGCGTCCTGCTTAGCGGGTAAGCGCGTTTTCCGGCATCTCTGCATTGTACAATTTGGTGCACGGGCTATTCAGATCGCGCCTACGATCGTTTTAAACAGTCTATAGACTGTTGATACAATTAGGCATTGTAATCGTTCACTTAACATAATCAGCCGCGTCTGTCGGAACAACGGAAGGTGCTTTTTTGCACACTGTGCAATCCTTTGATCACTACGTTAAAATAACAAGCTTTAATGTAATAATGAATTAAAAAGTAGAAAAACAAATGATTTTCTTTAAATAAATAATAATACGCTAATATTTAAATAAATATAAAGAAAAGCATGTGTCTCTTCCTAAATATTATTAAAAGTAACACACGCTTTTCTTTATATTTATTTTAACAGTAGTGTATTATTATATACGAGAAAAACGGCCCGTTGAGGAAGGATACACAAGACAGCGCTAGGTTGATAGTGCTGTCTCTTTTCTCTAAACTAAAACCAAAACCAAAATCACCACCTTCATTCAATTTAACCGGAAACGAAAAATGACATTGAAAACGGATTTTTATCCTGAAAGGATACTTTAATTTATACAAAATATAGTCATAGGCTTATCCCTAAACCATGAACCTAATCTCATTGAAGACAAAAGTCGCATTTAGAGTTTCTTTCAGGCAATATCGATGACGACATTTCTTTTGAGTTGTGGAGGGGGGGGCGGCGGCTTCGTCCCTACTCGAAAAGTTGTATGAAAGAAACTCTTCACGCAAACCACTTTTAAGATTAGACAAAATTGGCTTTTTAATTCAATGTTTACTTGAGAATCAATGACGACACTACTATTCTACGCACTTTCCCGGCTTGAGACAATTTTCTACTATTTAATCAATGTGACGTCATATTTCACTTCCGTTTTACTATGAAAGTTTTTAATTTGCTTGTGTTTTCTCTAGAGCGTTCTTTTCAGATACATAGACAGACAGCGAAACTATTAGTATTGCTGATATAAAGAAAATCATGTATTTTCTACTTTTTAGTGCATCCTAATATATAAAAGCCAATGTGCTACTGTGGCATATTATGTCTGAGACCATTGTCCATGATATCATTTGTCCTGATATATTTTGTCCTGGTATCATTTGTCCGTGAGATCATTTGTCCTTGAGATCATTTGTCCTGAGATCATTTGTCGGTGAGATATTTTGTCTGAGATATTTTGTCTGAAATTGAGATCATTTGTCATGGATATATATATATATATAAATACAAATATATATGAATATATATATATATATGTATATATATATATATATATATATATATATATATATATATATATATATATATATATATATATTTCAAGTATGCTTTTTTAATGTGAACCTGCTCTTGCTGCCTACACATGCTCGAGTGGGGAAGCAGCAAGAGTTAATTATGTTAAACGAGGAAATAAGTTAGACTTGCCATCCCGGCCAGGCCGTGCACATGCGTCTATGAATAACCTATCTGTAAAGAACCTTGATGTGTGTGTGTTTTTAAGCAGCATATACCCTGCATTGCCCGAGTTTAGGAGATATATTAATTTTCCAATTAAATGTCTAGATGCAAATATGGACGCATAACCCTGAACCTAAATGTAAATGTAAACTTAACCCTAATGACAACTAACGAAAAAAAAATCTAAATAAAAAACGGAAACACAAACGCAAACTAAAAATCAAACACAAACACAAACGCAAATTAAAACACAAAAGGAAACACATATGCCAGAGGCGTAGCGAGGGGGGCGGGGTGGGGACCACACCGGGTGACACCATTTAGGGGGTGACACCAGGAAAAAATAGCAAAATATATACATTAAATGATAATTCCACTTAATTAAGTGATTAATTAGAGTGTTAAATAGTCTTTTAAGAGCAAATTTGACAAATCCCGACAAGGGTGGAGGGAAGAGGAGCTGACACCATGACGTAAACCTGCTAATGATAGAGAAAACATGCTACATCAAGCTACATTAACTCAACGTTGCAAAATATGCCTGAGGTAAACGGTTTGGTTGATATTTATAATAATTTATATGTTAATCCATGTATTAGGGGGGAGGTAAAAAATGAAATGCATAAAAATATATATGTGAACACATTTATACATGCGCATTTACATATATATATATATATATATAAAGATAAAAATCGTCTCATTATGGGGGGGGGGGGGGAAGAGGAGAGGAGTCTGCATGGTCAGACTGGATTTTGTTTCTCCATTGCTAAGTGTTACTTGACCTAATACAAAGCTGGTCTTAATATGATAAAATTAAATCTGGAATTTCGGGTCTACGACAAATTCCCGAAAGACACTTGCCCGAATGCCGTTTGCCCGAATGCCGAATTCCCGAATGGACACTTGCCCGAATGCGACAAATGCCCGAATGGACACTTGCCCGAATGCGACAAACGCCCGAATGGACACTTGCCCGAATGGGACAAATGCCCGAATGGACACTTGCCCGAATGGGACAAATGCCCGAATGGACACTTGCCCGAATGGGACAAATGCCCGAATGGACACTTGCCCGAATGGGACAAATGCCCGAATGCCACTTGCCCGAAAAATTTTAATATTAGATAATAAATAATATTTCCAAATAGACATTCTTTAATCAATTTAAATTTGAAATTTTGATTATAAACACAATTCTAAGCATAAAACAAAGTTGTTTATATTTTTAAATTTAGCTTTTATTTTTTTTTTCAAAACTGTGAAAGTGCTGTAAGAAAAACTTTATTCTTTAATAAATATAAGGTGATGTTGGCGGCGGTGTTCTAACATTCTTTTGATGTAAGTTTTGAACACCTTGTTTAGCCGACGTGTTGCGGTGGTTATATAGCTTTTATGACACGGCGTAGGCGGCGCGGCGTCTCGCAACATTGAACAGAGGCGCGTTTGTTTGTTTGTTTATCTTGTTCTGCTTAACTTGGGGGTGAACATTTAACAAAAGAATGAGGTGAGGTCTAGGTGGCGAATTTAAAAACTAAACGTAGTCAAATATGTTTGATCTCCATTTAATGCACCTTGTTGAGACAATGCGTTGAAGCGATTAATTAATAAAGAAAGCAAAAATCATTTTAAAATCCGGAGATTAATGAAAATTGTATTTTTGTCTAATTTCATATATGGAAGAGAAAGTATGTTTCTACACTTTTTAAATATCAAATACAAATTAATTTAAAATGTCTGCGTGGTAATATATAATATTATGTTTTCACTTTCTTTTTGCGTAGATGTGTTTTGTTTACCAACATTTTAAATTTAAATTGATTACGAATGATTATTTAGTAATATATAATGTTAACATTTTTCGGGCAAACGGCCTTCGGGCAAGTGGCATTCGGGCATTTGTCGCATTCGGGCAAGTGTCCATTCGGGCATTTGTCGCATTCGGGCAAGTGTCCATTCGGGCATTTGTCCCATTCGGGCAAGTGTCCATTCGGGCATTTGTCGCATTCGGGCAAGTGTCCATTCGGGCGTTTGTCGCATTCGGGCAAGTGTCCATTCGGGCAATTGTCGCATTCGGGCAAGTGTCCATTCGGGAAATCGGCCTTCGGGCAAACGGCATTCGGGCAAGTGTCTTTCGGGAAAACGTCCGGCTCCCTGGAATTTCAAGTATGAAGTGGTATGAATTCCTTGTTCCCATGTAGTCAAGTAGAGGCGTAGCTAGGGAAGAGATGGTGGGGTGTCAGCCCAGGGTGCCGACCATAAGGGGACACCAAACTGGGTAGTAAAAAATTTAAACCTGCATTATTGAATTATACACAGTTGAAGTTAAGTATATAGAACTCTAGATTTGCTTTAAGAACTTATTTATCTCATTTCTACATCTATTCGATGAACCAATATAAAACTATTAGGGGACAGTGACTTATAAAAAGAGTCATCAACCTTTCTAAATGAAAGGAGGGTTATTCTCGCCAACATAAATTACTTTATAAATGTAAATAGCGGGAAGGGTAGGAACAAAGCTGATAGTCCGTCCCGGGTTGAATTGGAATTTGGGAAATTTAGACTTGGCCCACCTGAACTCCTAGAGGCAGGGGCGGAACTACAGTGCCGCCAGACCCCGCAATGCGGGGGGGCCCACGCCATTTAGGGGCCCACGGCCGACCATAAAAAAAAATTGTTATAGTTAAAAAAAAATTCTTGCATTTTTGACTTAATGTTTGTTTTGTAAAAAAGATTACCGTAGCTGCGGTTGGATTACCTTTATTCTATAGACAACATCCCACGATAGTTTTTCCTTCGATTTTAAACCACTGTCAATCAAACTTATCAAAGATAAGCAAACGTTCAAACCACTTCAATGACTTATTTCCCTTTTTTTTTTAATTAAATAGTGATGCTCATAAGCCTCTTTTTAATAGATTTGTACTAAACAAATTAAAAAGCAATTACTTCTCTTTATAATTATTTGTTTATAAATTACTTACTAAAGAATGACACTGTACAAAAAGAAAATGTATTTAAAATTAATAAAATAAATACAAAAAAACATAAAAATAAACATGACACGAGACACCATTATTTACAGAACGCTTTCATGATTTATATTCTTTTTGACCGGTATGTTGATAGAGGTCTTACGGCAAACATAATATAAAACTGATTTTCACATAACAGACTAAAGAACTTACATACATGACATGATGTTGTAATTTGTTTCAATTTAAAAAAAAAACCCACGTATTTCTCAAAACACGAACAGGCCAGCAATAAGTATCCTTGTTCGTATTTTATGTTTGAGTATATATATAATATATATATATATATATATATATATATATATATATATATATATATATATATATATATATATATGTATGTATATATATATATATATATATATATATATATATATATATATATATATATATATATATATATATATATATATATACATATATAGGCCTAAATATTTATATGGGGGGGGGGGCCTAAAAATTTTTTTTGCGGGGTGGCCCCTTTTTTCTAGTTCCGCCACTGCCTAGAGGATCTACAAATGTCTACACTATTTGTGTTTATCCTAGATGACAAAACTACAATTGCACAAACGGCATCCACAAAACGTCTTTATATTAAAAATGTAAAGGGTTAACACATCCGACAAAAGGGAACAAGAAACCATATGCTGAAAAACTGACTTGAGCTTTACTTTTCAATGCTTATTTGTGCTATAAATTTACGAATACACATACAGAATATTGGAAAGTTGAAATAATTTAAGTAGTACAGTTGCTATAGGGCTGGTAAGTAGGTCACCAACCAGTTCTACGGCTCAATAAAACCTGCTTGAGCCATAGAACTGGTTGGTTACCTACTTACCAGCCTTATAGTCGACTGATATTATGACAGAAAGGACATCCGCTCCTTACTTGGCGCTTAACTAACCACCGAGACATATGCATTTTTAGTCGATTAACATTTTTTTTCTAGAAATACAACTGGCCACAGAATCTAGATATTAAATGCAATTGCATTTTTTTTTAAGTTTTATTTGAATTAATATTTTGAAAAGGCGCAACTATCCTAAAATTCTCCCGAGGAAAAGGGCTGCCCCCTCCCCATCCCACCTGCCTACTTCTCAATACGGATCACTACGTACCGATGTGTAAACTTGTAAAATATGGTCCAATAAAACGATGGGTGAGATTATTGGTCTTTTAAAAATGTGAAAAATTAAAAATCAAAATCATTCCAATTTTCACCCAGCTAATTACATACAATTCCTGTATATTATAAAATGTATAATTATCAAGGTGTCATAATACTTACTTGAAAAGAACCGTCACTTTACAACAATCTTGTGTGGAAGAATTCGACAGTGCTACGTTATATACGCTAAGCAGATGCAAGATCGGCTAACTGTAGAACAAAGACGTGATGGGTTTACTCTACAGGTATAAAGGCATTGGAGTTCAAGACCGTTTAACTTTCTCAAGAAAAAAATGCGCATAAATGAACAGCCTGATTGTGAATGTTAAAATAACTGAAGACTTTAACGTGTGAGCTCTGGTTACACTCTAAACTTTTTACGTAATTATGAAATTTTAATTTTAAAATTGTAAGAAACTATGAATGTGTGTGTAGGTGCGTATGTTTGTGTGTGCATGTGTTCTTGCGTTTTTTTGTGTGCTTGTGTGTGTGTATGTTTCTGTGCGTATTTTCGTGTGGATTACGATTTAACTTGTTATATTGACTAGCTTCGCTTAGGTTGACGAAAAATATTTGCATAAAATTGAATTCTTTACATGAGCTGTGCCATGATTAAACCAATACTAAACTTAGCTAATTTAATAGCAACATTTTAACGTAAAATATTATTTTAATCATTTTAAGTTATTTTTTTCGTTTTTACCTTGTCTAATTTAATAATTGTCTGTGGGATAGACACACCATACATTACACACAACTACATTCTCTACATCCAACGTATATCATAAATGTATAACCATTAAAATGTCCTAAAACTTACCTGTGAAGATCGTACACTTTACCGATGTGTGTCTGTGCAACAAACATGTCTGTGAAAGCTTATATACCACAGCTTAAACGAGGTCAGTTATCCCCAGCGGCGTCACTCTGTCGGGTATCACCCGGCGTGAAACTTCGTGGTGTCAATCCACCCCCGCCCTCAATAAAAGTATATATATATATATATATATATATATATATATATATATATATATATATATATATATATATATATATATATATATATTGCGTGAAATAAAGTCAAACATTCAAAACACTTCCATGACTTATTTCCCAACCCTAAATGGATAAATAGGGGTAATCATAAGCTCGTTTTAATATATTTGTACTAAACAAATAAAAAAGCAATTACTTCTCTTAATTAATTTTTTTTGTAAATACATACTAAAGATTGACATAGCATAAAAAGGAAATATATTTAAAACAAATAATAAAAATAGAAAAAAAAAACAAACATAAAAATAAACATAACACGAGAAGTCATTACACATACAAAGCTTTCACGCTTTATATTCTTTTAACCGGCTAAAGTCTAGAGTCGAGAGGGTAGGCAGTATTACAGAAAACATATTGAATAAACTAGTTTTAAATCTAAAAAAAAATAATAATAATAATTTCAAAACAGATTAATGGACTCACACACATGGCATGTTGTAATTTGTTTAAATTGAAAAAAAAAACAATTTTGTTTTCAAAACCTGATCAGGCCAGAAATGACTATCTAATGTTTGTATTCTGTGTTTGGGGCCCAGAATTATTTTTTTTGCGGGGTGGCCCTTTTTTTCAAGTTCCGCCACTGTGTCAGTCCCACCCCTTTGTAATAGATTTACTTAAAAGACTATTTAACTTAAATTAATTATTAATGGAACTGGCAAAATACAACATTTTCATTCTGAACATTTTGCTATTTGTTGCTTTGGTGTTATACCCCTAAATGGTGTGACCCGGTGCGGCCCCACCCTCGCTACGCCCCTGGTTTGCCTTAGAAAAAATTTGCAAAACAAACGTTGTTTTATTATAGACCGATTTATCATCCTATATAAACGAAAGCCTCTATTTTTAGAATCTCATTTCACGTTTAATTCAAGTTCATGCTTCTGTGATTTTCTTTCCTTACAAAAGACTTAGCTATAAAACATGTTATGCATTTTCTTAAAAAATATTCGACTGAAATTGCGTAAGTTTCCTCACCTTGGTCTTTTAAATTCCTGTCATACCCAGTCACAAAAATTGTCTCTATCCGCTAAATTATGTCCCCTACCTTCCCCAAAAACGTCAAAACTACTATCTAAATTCCCCTCCCAAAACTCTACTCATCTCCCACAAATAACAGTCGTGTGAACGCCATATATGTGCTACCGTTCTTCATTCACATAATGAACAAACAAAAGGATCACATACTTATGTTTAAGCTTAAATATTACTCCAAACAATATTTCTTTAAGTAGCTATAGCAGCTAGAACAAATTTTAACATGCACAAATGCATTGCACTATTTTTTTTTGTAATTTGCACTTACATTTTTATTCATTTGTTTTTCTTTTGAAACCTCTGTGTACAGCTAAATAAAGCGCTTTGTTAGAATCACGAGTCACATGATTAGTGTGTAACCCCTTACAGGTATTCTAGCTACGTGGTTCAAGGATATATATAGATTTTTCAAGAAAAGGGTGCGCATACCTGAACAACGTGATAGAAACTATTTCAAATAACAAAACACAAGCATGTACGCTCCGATTACACTTAAGGGCTTACTTGCAATGTGTCTCTCTGTTAGCAAACTGAATATGATTTTTGAACAGTAGGAAAGAATATTTTATATATATATATATATATATATATATATATATATATATATATATATATATATATATATATATATATATATATATATATATATATATATATATATATATATATATATTTACGCGTGTAGGCGTGACCGCGGATACGTAATTGTGTATGTGTGTTTGTGGGTTTTGTGTATGTATGAATGTTAGAATGCTTATGTTTGCGATTGCTTGTGTGTAGATATTAAGGTATTTCAGAGGGAAGGGGGGGTCAGTAATATGATATTTGAAGATGTTTGAAGACCGCTTTCCATTCCCAGGGTGCTTTTGAAATATCAATAAGGGACATAAATACACCAATTTTAAATTGTCTTTGCTTAATAAGTGTGCATTCACTTTTTGCCTCCCCTCCCTTTTACTATTTCGATTTATTTAAAAACACTAGCAGGTGCTACCAAAAGACTTTTTCGACTTCATCTGCTTTATTGCCCATAGATACTGCCTTTTTAGTACTAAACATTTTCTCATTAAACACAACACATTAAGAGTTTATGAGAATTAAGTGTAACATGGTTTAATATTAACGAGAAAACCTGTTATTGTTATCATTGTAAGGGACGTAAGTCTTTAAAGCTAAGTGATAATATTGTTTTATCATTGTACATTCCCCTGTTTAGATGTCGTTTTAATAATTTAACATTTTTTGTCGTAGCTGAAGATGGCGGCCTCGAACAAATGACTTATTACTCGCGTAGCGGTTGGTAATACTTTACGATCTAAAATAGAGTGTGCCGTTCTAAACTAGGTTTGTGCTTATTTCAACGAATTATAGCGGAAATACGCAACGCGCTTAGATTATCTCACATTACGTAGGCCAACTTATATAAAAACATTTCGGCAGTGGGGTTTTCATATATTCAGTCGTGGAGTTCTTACACAGCTAATCAATTATCTTACTAGAATGAAACTTGATCCAAAAAATTAGAAATGTTGCCTTCCACGAGAAAAGTATTTTTTTTATATTTTTGCTACTTTTATAGCATTGATTCTTAAAATATCAAATTTCTGAAATGTTTTTTTTTGTTTTATTTTATTTTCCTACGGCCGCTATGAAGGCAACATTGACAAAAGCAGGATTTAGATCCGTATCGACACTAATGCGAAAGCAACTTCGTCAACTCGATTTTATCCATTAAAAGGGCTGATAACATATTTCGCGTTTAACATAGTGAACATCAATATAACATTCAATTTCTTTCGATACTACTTTTTTTTATATATATTATTGTCTTTAAAAGATTTTAAAAGCTACCATTCGTTTACGATTCACACTCAGCTTCATCATTTTCCGTTCGTACCCGAGACACATGGGGCAGATGGAGTAGAGTTCATCTGCTTTAGAGACCTGGGCATATGAAGGGATAATCTGGCCAGCAGTATGCGCAGCCGCCTTTGTTGCTCTTACGTAAGTTAGGTACCTATCAGAGCTGGGTGGAATCAGAGACGTTTGTCTGATTTGAACCCTGATTCGAAACTAAATGAAGATTTTAAACAGGTAGGGCCTATGCACCACGAGAAATTCAATGAAAGGGATGCAACTATCTCATTTAACCGTTTGTTTTTCGTATTACCATTGTATGTTACTTTTTTTCTAGCTAGTAATAGGTAGTAAATATTCATGGTAATGTACTGCTCAGGTAAAGTGACCAAAAAATGGTGTGCCGTTTTAAAATCTTGAACTAAAATTAATCACACGAAACAAACATCTGATTATAATAATTAGCCAGGGTCGGTGCTAAAGATGTGGAGGAGTGCTATTTGTCTAGGAAGGATTTTACTTGTATAAAGGGGGGTCAGTGCGGAATTAAAAAGAATTTATATGGAAAATATATACTTTTACCAGTTTCCGCCCTCGGGAAATTTAGTCCGCCTCCCACACCCCATCTCCGAAAGTTATACGTGCAACCCCGGAGGAAAATGTCTGAAAGAAACACTGCCCATGCGTTTATATAAAACGCTTTTGTAAAAACATCTTTTATTATCAGAAACGCATATTTTAACCCGTATATGACACGATACACTATTTGGATAAATTAAAATATTAACAACGTGTTGACTGCACAATTTTTTCGCATGTCTTGATTTAAATGTTTAACATTTAAACTGTACTATTTGCCAACTGATCAAAGAAGGGAGACTACTTTTACTTCCACGTTTCATAACTACATAACATGGATTTTCCCCCCTAACAATAAACCTTTATAAACCGATATTACGCTTAACAAAATATATAAAAGACTTTATAATTAGGTATTAAATTCAGAAAGTAAAAAAACCAATATAAAAATGGCTATAATAACAAGCTTTTAAGTGCACTGAAAATAAAATAAAACAACCTTGCTTTCTTTAATACAAGCTCTGGTCGCTAAAATATGTTAGAGTTCTCTTATAGAGAATACATTCTTTTTCATAGGTCAGTTTGTTTATTGAGCTCTTAGTCTTTTAATTTTTAGTCGTAATGGTTAAAGCATTAGTAAGGTTACTCCAAACATATTTTTTTTTTACTTTAATAAAAAGCCTTTTTTTAAAAATAGTTTTTACTTGTGAATTATTTCCCTTGAAATACAAGGATTTAATACTGTGTTGTCAACAAGCGGTGGTCGTTCGGTCTATCATCGTGTGGCTGCTCAATTAAGCGATGCTTGGTGGTCGTTCGGTCTATCGTCGTGTGGTTGCTTAATTAAGCGATGAGGGGGGGGGGGATGCAAATCGAAAGTTTGTCCGCGGGCGCCGGGAAGGGTCACTACGCCTCTGCCCGCGACCCTTAATCTGGTAAAGGGGGAAATCTAACCTCACCCTGTTCGGGTCGTTTTAATTTCTAAAACTGCAGCACTAGTTCATTGCGGTGATTGCACGGGAACATCCGAAACTTGACATACAAAGACTAAATGGATATTTAACAAACTTTAGATCTCCTTTATATCGCCTTTTTTTATTTATTTCTATAATAAAACGCAATTTTTTAAACGAGACCATTGAGGGACTGATTTAGTAGTGACTGATTTTCATAATACAGACATAATAATTAAATTAATTATTTTTTGTTCATTAGCTGCTGACGAAAACAAACACTGGTAGATCTGTAAAATAAAAAACAGACTGGATAATATCATAAGCCGACACCGTCGAGTAGATTCCGCCGAAATATGCGCCCACATTTCACCTCCCTTGAAAGTGCAACTGAAGCGCTGCAACGCAAAAGTACATTTTTACAACCGGATATTACCCTAGTCACGTGACTGGATGCTGTGCGAACGACAAGCCAAACTAACACAGTTGACAGGAGATCACAAATCTTCAGAACCATTTGGGAATTTTATCAAAAGCTGACACAGGTTAGTTTAAAGCTTTATCAGTATACACTTAGTTATACTTTTCTAGTAGCTGCTACGCAATGACAGACTTTTTTAGTTTGTATCGTTTAGAATTCATATTATAAGGGTCTACGACAAAGTCCCGAAAGACACTTGCCCGAATGCCGTTTACCCGAAGGCCGATTTCCTGAATGGACAAATGCCCGAATGGACACTTGCCCGAATGCGACAATATATATATATATATGGATGGGCAAAAATATATATATATATATATGTATATACACACACACACTGCTATGTAGGAATATGATTTAGACCCATACTTGTAACGTGTGTAAGAGCACATTCCTTAGGTCGTTTATTTTTTTATTATTATACTTACGGCATAGTGAGTTTAAGCAGCTAAGATTTGGCGTCTCCCTCAAACAAAAATTATAATAATATGACCGAAAATGTCAATATCAGCGATAAAAAATTCTTGGTGAGATGATCTTGGTACATTATTATAAACTTGGTGGGATGATCTTTGTACACGATTATAAACTTGGTGAGATGATCTTGGTACACCATTATAAACAAGGTGAGATGATCTTGATACACCATTATAAACTTGTTGAGATGATCTTGGTACACCATTATAAACTTAGTGAGATGATCTTGGTACACCATTATAACCTTGGTGAGATGATCTTGGTACACCATTATAAACTTGGAGAGATGATCTTGGTACACCATTATAAACTTGGTGAGATGATCTTGGTACACCATTATAAACTTAGTGAGATGATCTTGGTGCACCATTATAACCTTGGTGAGATGATCTTGGTAGACCATTATAAACTTGGAGAGATGATCTTGGTACACCATTATAAACTTGGTGAGATGATCTTGGTACACCATTATAAACTTGGTGAGATGATCTTGGTGCACCATTATAAACTTGGCGAGATGATCTTGGTACACCATTATAAACTTAGTGAGATTATCTTGGTACACCATTATAAACAAGGTGAGATGATCTTGATACACCATTATAAGCTTGGTGAGATGATCTTGGTACACCATTATAAACTTGGTGAGATGATCTTGGTACACCATTATAAACTTGGTGAGATGATCTTGGTACACCATTATAAACTTGGTGTGATGATCTTTGTTACGGGTCAGTTGTAGGTTAGACTAGAATAGGATAGAATGATCTAGAATTAGGGGAGAGTGAGTGTGTGTGAGTTGAGTTTACCCTAGAATATTGTTAACCCCGGTGTGTTTGTGTATTGTTATCCCAAGGTCGAATGCGGTATAAAAGCTGGAGTGAATGGTTGTCAGGGGTTAGTTAGTTGGCAGGGTTAGGTCGAGGGCTATGTTGTATTGTGATATGTGAGACCTAACAAACGTATCGAACGTTAACCCGAGTCGTTCTTGAATTCGAATCTAACCCGGACGTAACAATCTTGGTACACCATTATAAGCTTGGTGAGATGATATTGGTACACCATTATAAACTTGGTCAAATGATCTTGGTACACAAGTATAAACTTGTTGAGATGATCTTGGTACACCATTATAAACTTGATAAGATGATCTTGGTTCATCATTATAAACTTGGTAAGATGATTTTGGTACATCATTATAAACTTGGTGAGATGATCTTGGTACACCATTATAAACTTGGTGAGATGATCTTGGTACACCATTATAAACTTGGTGAGATTATCTTGGTACACCATTATAAGCTTGGTGAGATGATCTTGGTACAACATTATAAACTTGGAGAGATGATCTTGGGACACCATTATAAACTTAGTGAGATTATCTTGGTACACCATTATAAACTTGGTGAGATGATCTTGGTACACCATTGTAAACTTGGTGTGATGATCTTGTTACACCATTATAAACAAGGTGAGATGATCTTAATATACCATTATAAACTTGTTGAGATGATCTTGGTACACCATTATAAACTTGGTGAGATGATCTTCGTACACCTTTATAAACTTGGTGAGATGATCTTGGTACACCATTATAAACTTGGTGAGATTATCTTGGTACACCATTATAACCTTGGTGAGATGATCTTGGTACACCATTATAAACTTGGAGAGATGATCTTGGTACACCATTATAAACTTGGTGAGATGATCTTGGTACGCCATTATAAACTTGGTGAGATGATCTTGGTGCACCATTATAAACTTGGCGAGATGATCTTGGTACACCATTATAAACTTAGTGAGATTATCTTGGTACACCATTATAAACAAGGTGAGATGATCTTGATACACCATTATAAGCTTGGTGAGATGATCTTGGTACACCATTATAAACTTGGTGAGATGATCTTGGTACATCATTATAAACTTGGTGTGATGATCTTGTTACACCATTATAAACAAGGTGAGCTGATCTTGATATACCATTGTAAACTAGTTGAGATGATCTTGGTACACCATTATAAACTTGGTGAGATTATCTTGGTACACCATTATAAGCTTGGTGAGATGATCTTGGTACACCATTATAAACTTGGAGAGATGATCTTGGTACACCATTATAAACTTGGTGAGATGATCTTGGTACGCCATTATAAACTTGGTGAGATGATCTTGGTGCACCATTATAAACTTGGCGAGATGATCTTGGTACACCATTATAAACTTAGTGAGATTATCTTGGTACACCATTATAAACAAGGTGAGATGATCTTGATACACCATTATAAGCTTGGTGAGATGATCTTGGTACACCATTATAAACTTGGTGAGATGATCTTGGTACACCATTATAAACTTGGTGTGATGATCTTGTTACACCATTATAAACAAGGTGAGATGATCTTGATACACCATTATAAACTTGTTGAGATGATCTTGGTACACCATTATAAACTTGGTGAGATGATCTTGGTACACCTTTATAAACTTGGTGAGATGATCTTGGTACACCATTATAAACTTGGTGAGATTATCTTGGTACACCATTATAACCTTGGTGAGATGATCTTGGTACACCATTATAAACAAGGTGAGATGATCTTGATACACCATTATAAGCTTGGTGAGATGATCTTGGTACATTATTATAAACTTGGTGAGATGATATTGTTACACCATTATAAACTTGGTAAGATGATCTTGGTACATCATTATAAACTTGGTAAGATGATCTTGGTACATCATTATAAACTTGGTGAGATGATCTTGGTACACCATTATAAACTTGGTGAGATGATCTTGGTACACCATTATAAACTTGGTGAGATGATCTTGGTACATTATTATAAACTTGGTGAGATGATCTTGGTACACAATTATAAACTTGGTGTGATGATCTTGTTACACCATTATAAACAAGGTGAGATGATCTTGATACACCATTATAAACTTGTTGAGATGATCTTGGTACACCATTATAAACTTGGTGAGATGATCTTGGTACACCTTTATAAACTTGGTGAGATGATCTTGGTACACCATTATAAACTTGGTGAGATTATCTTGGTACACCATTATAACCTTGGTGAGATGATCTTGGTACACCATTATAAACAAGGTGAGATGATCTTGATACACCATTATAAGCTTGGTGAGATGATCTTGGTACATTATTATAAACTTGGTGAGATGATATTGGTACACCATTATAAACTTGGTAAGATGATCTTGGTACATCATTATAAACTTGGTAAGATGATCTTGGTACATCATTATAAACTTGGTGAGATGATCTTGGTACACCATTATAAACTTGGTGAGATGATCTTGGTACACCATTATAAACTTGGTGAGATGATCTTGGTACATTATTATAAACTTGGTGAGATGATCTTGGTACACAATTATAAACTTGGAGAGATGATCTTGGTACACTATTATAAACTTGGTGATATGATCTTGGTACACTATTATAAACTTGGTGAGATGATCTTGGTACACTATTATAAACTTGGTGAGATGATCTTGGTACACCATTATAAACTTGATAAGATGATCTTGGTTCATCATTATAAACTTGGTAAGATGATTTTGGTACATCATTATAAACTTGGTGAGATGATCTTGGTACACCATTATAAACTTGGTGAGATGATCTTGGTACACCATTATAAACTTGGTGAGATTATCTTGGTACACCATTATAAGCTTGGTGAGATGATCTTGGTACAACATTATAAACTTGGAGAGATGATCTTGGGACACCATTATAAACTTAGTGAGATTATCTTGGTACACCATTATAAACTTGGTGAGATGATCTTGGTACACCATTGTAAACTTGGTGTGATGATCTTGTTACACCATTATAAACAAGGTGAGATGATCTTAATATACCATTATAAACTTGTTGAGATGATCTTGGTACACCATTATAAACTTGGTGAGATGATCTTCGTACACCTTTATAAACTTGGTGAGATGATCTTGGTACACCATTATAAACTTGGTGAGATTATCTTGGTACACCATTATAACCTTGGTGAGATGATCTTGGTACACCATTATAAACTTGGAGAGATGATCTTGGTACACCATTATAAACTTGGTGAGATGATCTTGGTGCGCCATTATAAACTTGGTGAGATGATCTTGGTGCACCATTATAAACTTGGCGAGATGATCTTGGTACACCATTATAAACTTAGTGAGATTATCTTGGTACACCATTATAAACAAGGTGAGATGATCTTGATACACCATTATAAGCTTGGTGAGATGATCTTGGTACACCATTATAAACTTGGTGAGATGATCTTGGTACATCATTATAAACTTGGTGTGATGATCTTGTTACACCATTATAAACAAGGTGAACTGATCTTGATATACCATTGTAAACTAGTTGAGATGATCTTGGTACACCATTATAAACTTGGTGAGATTATCTTGGTACACCATTATAAGCTTGGTGAGATGATCTTGGTACACCATTATAAACTTGGAGAGATGATCTTGGTACACCATTATAAACTTGGTGAGATGATCTTGGTACGCCATTATAAACTTGGTGAGATGATCTTG